TGGATTGCACAGGTCCCGCAACATCAGCAGCTCCAACACGAGGAGCACCTTCTTCGATCCCCTTCTTCAGCGGCTGCCGTTTCGGGCGCCTGGACCTCCGTTTCATCTCCGTCCCCATCCCAGCTGCTGACGGCGAGCTACACGCCGGCTGGACCGACGACGAACAATGCAACGGGGGTTGCTGCAACGAAGCCAGAGTCGCCGCAGGCTGCACGTCCATCATGTCATCATCAGAGTCTTTTTTGAGGATAAGGCGGCGGCGCCGGGTCTCATCCTGGATCGAGCCAACAGATGTACCACGCGACTCCGGTTCGGCTGCCTCCCGCACCGCTAAAATCGGCCGGGACTGTTCCGCCATCACGGCGTCAAGGGGCACAGCATCCACTTCCATCTTCTTCCCAGCCGACTTTCGCTGTCGACCACTCCCCAGGCGTAGTTTCGGCGGGCGATTAATGGCAAATCCCCGTGGGCTGCCGCGCACCTTTGGCGATCTTTCTGAACTCTTCACCGACTGCGAGATCATACCACCCCGATTCTCCAGCCCCACGAGTTTTGGCAAGGGAGCAGTTTGCTCAAGCTTCACCATCTTCTGGGAATGACTCCGCTCCCCCAAATTTGGTTCATTTTTTCCAGCCACCATATTGTTCCGATTCTGTCGATTTATCCAAACAGAGCGCCTAGGCCCTCCAAATTGCGGGGCCTCCCCTTCATCCTCGTGCAGCTTCCTGCCCACTTTCTTCGTTGCCATGTGCGGACCAAACCGCTCTTTCCCACGCGGCGGAGCAAAGGTGCAGTCACGGCGAGCATGACCTACTCTGCCGCAATGGAAGCAAAAGCTTGGGAGGAACTCATACTTCAGACTAACCCAGAATCCATCCACCTCCTCACTCACCGCCATTAACTGCGATCGGAGAGGCTTGGAGAAATCAATAACAGTATTGACTTTAATAAACCGCTCCCCAGTCTCCATGCACGCGAAAATTCCAGTCTCCAAAACTTGCCCCACCGAGGCTGCTATAATTTTCTGTCCAAAGAGTTTGGTACAACAGTCCTCCTTGACTCCCCATAGTTGGACTCGAAACGGGGCTTTCGACATCTCATCAAATATTCCGGTTGGGATCACAGAAGACCAGGGGCGAAGGGTAAGCAGTCGATCCTTAATGATCCATGGATTTCGGGAGAGAGCCCACTTCTTAGCCTCTTCATTCGGCAAGACGATCTCATAAAGCCCATGCTTGGTTCTCATGACCTTCAACTGCCCACAGATCTTCCAAGCATCCAGTAAACCCTCTCGCAATTCCACCGTGGTTATTTGGTCGTGAGAAAACAAACGACCAAGGAGGGAACGAGATGCTCGGAACCGGGTGGATTGCACTTCCTCCAATGAGAAATGAATCACCTGATCTTCTGATACGTGGCTCGTCATTGTTTCCAGCACCTGGCCACAAGAAATAGAACTCGCGTCAATACCCAGTGAATCACACCCTAGCTCAGCATCCGAACCCAGCTCACCATTAAAGGCTGGCATGGGACGAGGCTGCATGACAGGTGTTTGGGTCACTGAAAGAACGAGATAAGAAGGGATAGAAGGACGATAATTTATCAATCCCCACCTACCTGAGCAGCTCCAAAACGATGGCACAAGGGCGAGAGTTCCGGCCGCAGCAGATTTTCCTGGGTGTCTAGATTGGAGAATTGGTAGTCTAGTCCACCCAGGTGGGGATGGAATATATAAAGGCCCTGACCCTCGGTAGACACCGACTTTCAGAGGGGAATTTTGAATAAGAGTTGGAATGTAACTAGGATTAGGATTCCCATTTAGTTTATAAAATAATTCTGTTTTTCCCCGTTGAGCAGGGATCCCTTGGGAATTCCCTAACCACCCCGAGATATTAGGGGACTGTATTTCCGAACCAATCTCCTGCACGCAACTACTCCCCAACTCTCGGGGTTGGGGAAATCTTATCCACGTGGGCAAGTACTGGGGATCGCCGATCACCCCTCCGGTTGCCCCTGCCGGAGAATTTTTCCCTTGACTTTTAATCACCAGTGATCGGACTTCCGCCGCTTCCTGGACAAAGTCCCGATCAATAAGGACGGACTGAGCCTGGTCTCTACGATTAAGATCAGGCATAGCCTCAGTAGACCCATCAGCCCTGGATAACAGCGATTCATCGCCTACCAGTTCCGACGCCAATGAGAACCAAAATCGCCATTCACGTAGGCGAACACTTCTGCGTCTTTTCGCAGATCCAGATTTCGATAACAACAATTCACTCGCGAGAATACTGGTCTCATAGAACCCGCCTCGCTTACGTTTTCCATGCACCCTTTCCGAGCGGCGGTCTTCCTGAGGGAGGTCCCGTGAGCCCACCGGATTTTTGCTTTTCCCCCATTGCGAGCCACTCTCCGCCATGAAGCCACGACCAGTATCAATGATCCGCCTATCCTCCTCATGATTGACCCAGTTGCTGTTCTGATTTAGCAAACTGGTGAGGAAGAGATTTGAGATGATCGTCAGCAGCCATCCACCAAGCCTGGACGGCCACTTTAGGAGAGAGGAGAGAGCACCTCTCATAATTTTTTAGTATTATCCTTTGAGTTTATATTGGTAAATAAATATAAATATAAAATAATATTTTAATTAATATATTAATATTAATTAATTAATATATTAAAGCCTAACATTGGAGTTACTATTTATTAGTGGCTCCCAAACTCCTCCAAATGCAAGTGGAGAAGTTCCAAGTTACTTCTTTTACCTCAATCTCCATTCTACAACTTTTGTGTTTAGCTAGGGTTATAGGTATAAGGGCTAATACCACTACAACACCCGAACTATCCGGAAAATGCCACTTGTGTCCTATTGTTTTCAATATTCCATCTGTGTCCTGAACTATATGAGTTTGTGACATTTGTGTCATGGCGTCTTACGTTGACCGTTAAAGATAACTGTTGACTTGACGGAAGTCAAACTAGTGTTGACTTTCGCAGATGTGGCAGAAAAGGGGCATCCACGTAGATTTCGCCTCATTGACATGTCATTACTTAATTAAAAATAAAATTAGTTAAATAAAATTATAATAACTATAATAAAAAAATACAAACTTTTTAGAAATTAAAAAAAAATAATGGCTCCCCCTCCAATCTCCCCGTCTCTGCTTCTTCCTCTTCCCCGCCATATCAATCTTCCTCTTCTCCCATTCTCTGTTTCTTCCTCTTCCTCTCCAATCCCAGCAATCACCAAATCCATTAGTGACGAGTGCAAATAGAACTCGTTTATGCAATCAGGCAGTCTTCCTCCTCCAATGGCGACGATGAGCTGGCGCTGCAGCATCTCAGATCCACATCTGCATCTCCGACCGTCCTCCTTGAACTCCCTGTGAACCCCCACCCCCACCGGCACCAACGACAGCCCTTCTCTCCTTGCTCTCAACTAATTCGATGGCCTCTCCACTCACCGCCGCCGCCAAACACCTTCGTCTCCTCCAATAAATCGACCCAATCAAAAGCTCCACGACCAAATCCATAATTGTAGCCAGGCTCGACAACGGCGGAACCACGAGGGCTATGTCCCTCACCCCTCTCTTCAACAGCGACGAACACTGGAGAAGATCTGTCAAATCTGGCTGCCGATCGGATAGGGAGCAGTGGGTGGATGAGAACGGCGACCCATTTCTGGATCTGACTTCCAACAGAGCCATCGATCTAGAGCTCGGTCTTGTTGACCCGAGGGAGGAAGCAGAGAGTGAGGGAGTCCGGGAAAGAATTGCGGCTTTGGATCGGGTGGCGAGACGGTGGATTGGATTGGCGTCGACAATGGATAGGTGGCGGCGTGGGATCGAGAGAATTGGTGCTGGAGATTTGGAGGAGGAAGAAGACGGAGGGGTGGGGAGGAAGGAAGGGAGTGCGGATTTCTGGGTTCGAATAGTAGAGTGGAGGACACGGAGGTGGTGGCGACCTGGATCGATTGATGGCGATTTGGGTGTTGATGGCGACTTACCGGAGAGGGGTCTCGGCAAAGGGTTCCACCAGACGGCGGGAGGAGAAGCGGAGAAGGGATTGGGAGGTTTTTCTATTTGTTTATTTTTAAATTTTTTATTAAATGAAAATTGATAATGAAAATTCCACGTCAGATGCCACGTCACCGCTGACTGGATTTTCTGTTAAATACTAACGGTCAACGCCGATCAACGCCGGTCAACACTAACAGAATAATAGTTCAGGACACAGATGGAATATTGGAAACAATAGGACACAAGTGGCATTTTTCGGATAGTTCGGGTGTTGTAGTGGTATTAGCCCTAGGTATAATATGCCCTTCTACTATAACGTTTTATCAAACATGCCCCTCTACTATTTTTTACATCAAACATGCCCATGTACTTTGTAAAAATTATCAAACATGTCCTTCCGTTAAAATTTTCATCCAAAAACCATTAACCAAGGCCGAACTTTGGTTTGGGCGACACAAATGTCTAAAATATCGATAATAATTTCCCTTTAGAATTTATATTTGTTCTTTTGCATAACCAAATAACTCAAATAATTTCACTTTGAAGAGACCTAGAGGAATAAAACAAGGGACAAAACTATCATTTTCCTCTCATTTGCCGATGTCGGATCGTCTAAATATCGGTTCAACCATGATTGATGATATTTTCAATCAAAATTTTAACAGAAGGACATGTTTGATAATTTTTTCAAAGTACAGGGGCATGTTTGATGTAAAAAATAGGGTTAATACCTTGTTATGGCCTGAACTATGACCATGTAATCAACTTTGGCCAGTGGTTTGAGAAATTAACATCCTGGCCCGATCTATGCAGCATATTGACAAAATTGGCCTGGAGCGTGGTTTGACCGTTTGTTTGGACGGTCAACACCGTTGACCGTTAGTCAACTGTCCAGGTCACTGCCATGTCAACATAAAAAAATTACAATTTCATTTTTTTTATTTCATTTACAAAAATTGAATAATTAAAAAAAAATCCAAAAATTTTGGCCCACCCATCCCCACCTTATCCCCTCACCTTCTTTCCTTTTCGATCAAACCCAACCCTATTCCATCTTCTTCCTCCTTCTTCCCCGACGAGCCGCCGCCTCCATTCCCTCAGACGAAAACAAATCCCTTCTTCCCCGACGACCCGCCGCCTCCATATCCGAAACATCTCCCTTCTTCCCCGACGACCCACCGCCTCCACATCGCCAACGATCAGGGCAACCGCACCACTCCTTCGTATGTTGCCTTCACCGACACAGAGCGACTCATCGGCGATGCGGCCAAGAACCAGGTCGCCATGAACCCTCACAACACCGTCTTCGACGCTAAGCGCCTCATTGGCCGGAAATTCTCCGACCCTTCCGTACAGGAAGACATGAAGCACTGGCCGTTCAAGGTCATCGCGGGCCCCGGTGACAAGCCGATGATCATTGTCCAGCACAAAGGCGAAGAGAAGCAGTTTGCTCCGGAAGAGATTTCGTCCATGGTGCTAGTTAAAATGAGGGAAATTGCGGAGGCCTTTTTAGGTCAGACCATCAAGAACGCGGTTGTCACCGTCCCGGCCTACTTCAACGACTCGCAGAGGCAGGCGACCAAGGATGCTGGCTCAATCGCCGGTCTGAACGTTCTCCGGATCATCAACGAGCCCACCGCCGCATCAATTGCTTATGGTCTGGACAAGAAGGGTTCGAGGAGCGGCGAGAAGAATGTTCTCATCTTCGATCTCGGCGGAGGAACTTTTGATGTCTCTCTGCTGACGATCGAGGAAGGGATCTTCGAAGTGAAGGCCACCGCCGGAGACACGCATCTCGGAGGTGAGGACTTCGACAATCGGCTGGTGAATCACTTCGTTGCGGAGTTCAAGCGGAAGAACAAGAAGGATATTAGCAGCCACGCCAGAGCTCTGAGGCGGCTGCGAACTGCCTGCGAGAGGGCGAAGAGGACTCTGTCTTCCACCTCTCAGACCACCATCGAAATTGACTCCCTCTACGAAGGTATCGACTTCTACTCTACCATTACTAGAGCTAGGTTTGAAGAATTGAACATGGAGGCGGCGGGGGCGGCGGCTCGTCGGGGAAGAAGGAGGAAGAAGATGGAATAGGGTTGGGTTTGATCGAAAAGGAAAGAAGGTGAGGGGATAAGGTGAGGATGGGTGGGCCAAAATTTTTGGATTTTGTTTTTTTTTTAAATTATTCAATTTTTGTAAATGAAATAAAAAGAAAAATGAAATTGTAATTTTTTTATGTTGACATGGCAGTGACCTGGACAGTTGACTAACGGTCAACGGTGTTGACCGTCCAAACAAACGGTCAAACCACGCTCCAGGCCAATTTTGTCAATATGCTGCATAGATCGGGCTAGGATGTTAATTTCTCAAACCACTAGCCAAAGTTGATTACATGGTCATAGTTCAGGCCATAACAAGGTATTAACCCTAAAAAATAGTAGAGGGGCATGTTTGATAGAACGTCATAATAGAGGGGCATATTATACCTATAACCCGTTTAGCTATTGTTCGTTAGCTTTATATCTATTGTACATTGTGTTTCCCATAACAATTACAATTATTTTTCCAGCTATTATTCAATGGCTTCTCTGTGCAACTATTATCTACTAGGTTTTCGTCTATGACTCTTTGCACAAATTATCGCCTTTGCCCTAGGGGTGGAAAACGGGACGGGAACGGGTACCCATCCCATTTAAACCGGGTACCCGTTCCCATTTGGAGAGGATATTCCATCCCATATCCCAAACCCGTATGGGTTAACGGGTACCCATTATCCGTACGGCACGGATAAAGTATCCAAATTATCCATAAATACCCAATCTCACCAAATGCAACTTGTTCTAACTCCATATATCGGTTTATCTCTTCCCTGGAACGATAAAAGGTAAAAAGAACTTTGAGCAAGATAATAAAAACCACCAACAGCAACTTTCGTCAATCAAGAAAATTAACAAATTACAATAGAGAAATTAATTACAAAGCTATGCATATAGCTTGACAACATAATCCCCAAACAAAGCTCATTGTAACAGCTGGGATTTCCACGACAAGTCATAATAATAGCCACCTATAATATTGGCTTCTCACGGGATTGAAACAACAAACAGCCTGATTAAAACAACAGTAGCGCAAACATACTCATAACAGTTGGGATTAGGGGTGTGCAATGGTCCGGTCCGTACCGGACCACATCGGACCAAACCGTTGTTAAGACCAGACCGGACCAGATCGAGTAAAATGCGGTCCGGTCCTTGGTCCTCATGAATTTTATAATTACTGAAGAAATGGTGGACCGAGCTCATATTTGGACCGAACCGAACCGGACCAAATGGACCAAATGCAAGAATGGTCCGGTCCTTGGTCCTAACATGTCTTTCACTAATGGACCGTGGTTCTCATGAGTTTGGTCCGGTCCGGACCGAACCGAACCGTTGCACACCCCTAGTTGGGATGACTTGTTTAACGGGTACCCAAAATATCCAAATGGGATTTGTGGGTAACCCACGGGTACCCAATCTAGGAATTCTTCATCCCAAGTCCCATCCGTAGTAAATAATACGGGTAATATGGGTACCCGTAACTCTCAAAATACGCGACGGGTATGGGTATACCCAAATACCCGTTTCCCGTTTTCCACCCCTACTTTGCCCACCATTTCACAGCTCATCTCGAAACACTGTCGGTGGAATCTTGAGTTGTCTTCTTTCACCATTTTCCACGGTGTGAACGAAGATCCATACCAAATATGCCCTGTCCAATCCTCGCCTTCACTCACCAATTCACAACCTTTTTCAAAATACTGTCGCCAGAATGCTTAGTTGTTTTCCAAGGCCGCTACCACGAGCTTTGTATCGTGATTGAGTTTCATTCTCTTTGGTGTTTTTTCTTTCTATTTTTCTTTTTTGTTGAGCATGATCACAATTGAACCCAAACACACAGGTATCCTAACTTGAACCCAAATCATCGCCTTTCCGCACCATTTCGCAACCCAACTCGAAAAATTGTCGGTGGAATCTTGAGTTGTCCTCTTCCACCGTTTGCCATGGTTGCGACCTAAGATCCATACTAGATATGTTTTGTCCAATCCTCAACATCGCTCACCAATTCAAAACCTTCTCAAAACACTGTCAGAGGAATTCTAAGTTGTCCCCCTCCACCGTTTCCCAATTCTCCTACCGAAAATTCATACCACATCTTCTCAATGTTGGCGCGTTTTGTATCAGGATCTAGTTTCGTCCGCTTTATTGTTTTTTTCTTTCACTTTTTTCTTTTTGTTGAGCACGATCACAATTGAACCCAAATCCATGAGTATCCAACCTAATCTTTTTTTCTTTTGGTTGGGAAGACAATTGAACTCGAATCTCAGGTATTGACGAGTGTTGTATTGTGAGCGAGTTTTATCCGCTTTTGTAGTTGCCAGGTTGGACCAAGTGTTAATTTTTTAAAAAATTGGTCAAAGTGAGTTGAACACATTGTTGACTAGTTTTAGATCGAAAGCGAGTTTTATATGCTTTAATATTTTTTTATTTCTCATTTTCCTTTTTGTTGAGAATGATAATTGAACTCTGACCCATTGTTGACGAGTTTCGTATCAAAAGCGAGTTTTATCCGCTTTTGTAATTGACATATTGGGTAAATTGTGAATTTGTTAAAACTGGGTCGACCGGGTCAAAGCGAGTTGAAAGCAATGTTGAGAGTTTGGGGTCGTGAGCGAGTTTTGTCTGCTTTAGTATTTTTTATCCTTTTTCTTTTGGTTGAGAATGCCAATTGACTCCAAGTGATGGGTATCCAACCTAATTCGACCCGACCAAAGCGACTTGAACCAAGTGTTCACAAGTTTTCATTGGAAGCGAATTTTATCTATTTTTGTGATTGGTGGGTTGTGTCAGGTATGAATTCGCTCAAAACTCGGTTCAACCAGGTCAGAGCGAGTTGACCCTGGTGTTGACGCGTTTTGAGTCAGTAGCGATTTTTATCTTTAGTGTTTTTCATTTCGCTTTTTCCTTTTGATTGAGCAAGACAATTTAACCCAAATCATGAGTATCCAACCTAATTTTGACCAGATCAATGCGAGTTGAACCTCCTCAAACCGGCAATCAATCCAAAATATTCATAAAGGAGAACCACGATTACCTCAAAGCCAAAAAAAAGAAAGCCAAAAGAGTACGACTATGTTTGGACCGAATTATAAAAGTTTTATGAAAAGTTGAAGCCAAGTCAAACACCTCTAAAGTTTTTTTTCGTAACTTAAAAACAGAAGCTCCGATTTGAAAATACAAAATTGTTCTTACCATATATTATTCTTTTTTCTAGAAAACATAATTTTCTTTCAAGTTTATCGACCTTTTGCTATTTCATCGACCCTTCTACCTTATGCAAGTTCATCGACCATTTGCTATTGTAAATAACAAACTTATGAAAAGAATGATAATGAATGAAATAAGATTACTTTCACTTTTTGGTCAACATCAAAACTATTACTCTTTCAAATATTTATTTTTCCGATACGCGAAGCAATAGCGAGCAGACTTTTGCTAGTGTTATATATGGAAAGGTTTAAAGGAACAACTACAAAAGCTCGAGGGTCAAACAACCCCGTAATATTTTTGTATGAGTTAACAAAAACCTTACGGGGTCGTTTGGAGAATATGAGTTTAAATATATATATCGTCAACAATCTAAAGATCCTAACTCTTTGGATTGTTGAAAATTGATTTTAAAATGTTTATTATTGTTTGGTATGAATAAAAAATTTAATTTTATATTAAATAACATGTTTATCCTTAATAAAAATTTAGAGTGGTTCGAGAAATATTAAAATCTTTGTTGATAAATATATTAAATATGATAAATAAATAAATAAATAAATAAAAGAAAGAGAAGAAGGAGGAGAAAAAAATCTCACGAATCAAAATATAAAATCTCTCTGATTATGAGAGATTTGATATTCATAGATTTTAGAGTTTTGAAATTTCTAAAGCTAACATTCACAACATAAAAAGCAACAAAAAAACACAACTTTCTACAAAATCTACGGATTCAATGAATCCACGTCCTAAATTCCGTACTCCAAACGGCCCCTACATGTCAAGTTTACCATGGATATTTGTAAAACGACGTAGCTTGGTTGTCTCCCCCAAAAAGGCGGAAAAAATCCCAAAGTACACACGTTATTAAAAAAAATTCCCAAAATACATAAGTTATAAAAAAAATTCCAAAACTACACATGTTTGGGCATCACCGTGTTTGATATAAGCGGTGAAGATTATCACCGCGTTAAACAAACACGGTGATAATTTCACCGTTTTAAATCAAAACGGTGATGCATTCACCGTTTTATACTAAAACGGTGAATGCATCACCGTTTTAGACAGAGACGGTGAAGTAATCACCGTTTTAATGCAAAACGGTGATCACTTCACCGTTTAGCTGACCACGGTGATTAGGCTGACGTGGACAGACGCGGGGCATTCACCGCGTTAGACAAACACGGTGAATACCCCGTGTTTGTTTACGTCAGCGATCCGCGCCACTGTGCTTTCACCGTGGCCGTTGGATGCGGTGAGGCGCGGATCGTGGTTTTCTTCCCACGATCCGACGCCTCACAGCTAGCCACGTCGACACGGGGGAACCGTGTTTGGGAACAGCGAGGCCTTCACCGCGTCCCTCAAACGCGGTGAATGGTCCCCTCATAACTGCTGCGCAGACTGCTCCCCCCCTTCCCCCAACTATAAATACCCCCTTCCCCTTTCACTTTCAACTCACCGCACAAACATTTCACTTCTTTCTCCCTCAATTTATCCGCTCTAGTCTCGTTCTAAGTATGCTCTGTGGTTGCGGCTAAGTCCGATCTTCCACATCAGAAAGAATTACTAGAGTTTGACCCTAAAGCCCCCGTCCCGCTAAGTTCCCGTCCCGCTCAAACCTAAACTCGTCGAACCTCTGTCCGGCCTACGCCAAAAAATGGACGAAGAGGCTCTTCGTGTAGGTTTTTTGTTTATGAATTTTTTTTAATCGAAATAATATGATTTTTTGTTTTATTTTTATCAAAACAATCTCTGATTTCATTACTTTTTTATAGATGGGTGCCGAGA